ATAAACAGTTTAGCATTTCTAAACATCTTACAAACGGTCCGGAAAAAACGCGTGTTCACTTTAAAATCAACCAATGAAAACATTGGTAATTTACTTCTTAGGAGAAATCTATATTAAAAGGGGAGGGGGGGGAGGCTAAAAAACTTAAATTTTGTTTTATTATTTAATCAATTAAATCATAATAAAAGTAAAGACAAAAAAATATATTTCTAAATATACTTCTTTATGACTAAAATTTATTAAATTGAACACCTCTGTTTTTAGTTTTAAGTAAATGTCAGTACTACTCTCAGTGGCAAAACTGCGGAGGAGGGGGGGAAGGTTTGGTTAACAGACAAAAAGTGTCCTGATTTTAAACTAATTTTAGGTTGTATGGGCTGATTTTGAAAATTGTGTTATTTGTTTATAACAAGTCACTTGTTATAAACAAAAAACTATATCTCAAAACAAAAATTCAGTGAAAATTGGCCTTAAAATTAAAAAAAATATATATTGGTAACCGATAAATAATAAAACTTTCATTGTAAATCCTCCCGCTTTTTTTTATTATTTCCTCCTCCCATTTTATACATCCTGACTAAAATTTCCACCCCCACCTACCTTTGTATTAAGCACATTAGAGTAGTCAGTAGCAAAATCCCCCCCCTCCTCCGCACGATTTTTAAAATGAGCCCCATATCTCACATGCAACCTAAAATTAGGACACTTTTTGTCTGCTAACCCCCCCCCCTCCCTTTCCCGCAGTTTCGCCACTGAGAGTAGTACTGACATTTACTTAAAACTAAAAACAGAGGTGTTCAATTTAATAAATTTTAATTATAAAGAAGTATATTTAGAAATATATTTTTTTGTCTTTACTTTTATTATGATTTAATTGATTATTTAATAAAACAAAATTTAAGTTTTTTAGCCTCCCCCCCTCCCCTTTTAATATATATTTTTTTTAATTTTAAGGCCAATTTTCACTGAATTTTTGTTTTGAGATATAGTTTTTTGTTTATAACAAGTGACTTGTTATAAACAAATAACTTCAATTTTCAATTTTCAGCCCATACAACCTAAAATTAGTTTAAAATCAGGACACTTTGTCTGTTAACCAAACCCTCCCCTCCCCCTCCTCCGCAGTTTCGCCACTGAGAGTAGTACTGACATTTACTTAAAACTAAAAACAGAGGTGTTCAATTTAATAAATTTTAGTTATAAAGAAGTATATTTAGAAATATATTTTTTTGTCTTTACTTTTATTATGATTTAATTGATTATTTAATAAAACAAAATTTAAGTTTTTTAGCCTCCCCCCCCTCCCCTTTTAATATAGATTTCTCCTAAGAAGTAAATTACCAATGTTTTCATTGGTTGATTTTAAAGTGAACACGCGTTTTTTCCGGACCGTTTGTAAGATGTTTAGAAATGCTAAACTGTTTATAAAAATATGTATTCGTAAAAGTTGCTGAGGTTTTTAACATTGTTTAAATATCCATTGTATTTTTTCTAGATGCATTACTACTTTAATTAAAGTTTGGAATTACTTAACTAAATCATTTTTGTTTATAATATCTTGATTATGTGTTGTTTGATCAAACAATAAACTATAAATGTAACATAAAAGAGTGTTATAAAAGTAACAACACTGTAGTAGTATTACTTTTGTAGTCATAAATTTATTGTTTTGTTTTTCATAACATTTTCACTAACAAATTAAAGTTTATTCGCCTATTCCTTAGTTTTCGTGGTTTTCCATAAACTGAAACTTTGAAGACCAGATAATTTAACAGATATCGCAAATCGCGATGCGTTAATTCAACCCTTGTCATTTTACTTTTTGTTAGAATTAAAAGTTATGTATTCTGTACCTGAATTCCTGTCTACAAATAATAAAAGTGGCAGACTTAATTACTATCAAAACCCATTTTATCATAATAAATTTAATCGAAAACAGCTTATGAATTCTTGGACCACTACTATTTTTAATCTATGTAAACGATTTAAACAAGGTTTCCAAATTGAAAAGTATAATTTTCCCTGATGATACTAATCTTTTCTTATTTCATACTGATATTTATGAACTCTTTTTAACTGCAAACAAAGAACTCAATCACATTTCTAAATGGTTCAAAGCTAATAAATTAACTTTAAATATTAACAAAACAAAATGGATTATTTTTCACTCCTGAGCAAAAAACGTTTTTTACCAAATAATATGCCTCAAATTTATATTGATAAAACTATAATAAAAAGAGATACTGTTATAAAATTCTTAGGTGTTTAGGTTGATAAGAATATTACTACTTGGAGAAAACATATTGATCATTTGGCATATTTCACAAATATTTGTCATTTTATAGAAATATTTGGCATTTTATACAAACATTTCCACATACAAACATATTTAAAAATATTTTATACAAACATCTACATTTTATACAAACATTTGGCATTTTATACAAAGCCCGAGGTTAAAATACATAAAAACACTTAACCCAGCTCAATTATTCGTTTATACACAATTATATAAATTATGCAATTATCGCCTCGAGAAGTACGGAGAAAAGTAAATTACAACATCTTTATCGGCGTCAGAAACATGTAATCCGCGTAGTTAATTATGTGGATTCAAAATATTTTTTTGATTATTAGAAGGTACTAGATGTTTATAAACTTAACATATTTAATGTTTTATGTTTTACTTTTAATGTTTTATGTTTTTAATGTTTTATGTTTTACTTATATTTAATGTTTTATGTTTTACTTTTATATGGAAAAACGATTTATCTTTATTTGTTTTAACGACCTTTTTTCTTTAAAACCAATAAATACACATTAAGAAATAATAGTTTTTTAATGAACCTTTTTGTAGAACAAAGTTCAATTAATTTCGTATAGCATATCGTGCACACCATCTTTGGAGTAAAATATTATTACCGAATTTTGGTCCTTCTATTACTCTTCCTGATTTTAAAACTAAATTAAAAATGTTCATTCTCTCTACGGACAACATTCTAAAATTCTACTAAAAATGTATGTAAAATGTATTTGTTAAATCTTCATCTTATTATATATTAAAATGTTAATACGTTATATTGTGTTAAATACGTTAAATTTTGATACGTTAAATCTTTAATATATATGTTATAAATAAATAGTTTTATATTTTCAAGTTTACCCCTTCATTTGTAGCACTTGAGGGGAGATCTTGAGGGATTTAGATCCGCCCCTGAGGGGGGACTTGAGGGATTTAGATCCGCCCCTGATTCACCAATACAAAAAAAAAATTAAAGAGTCCACGATAGCAGCTCCTTTTTTTTTTTGTCGTTCTTTTAACAATACTTTCTGATAAAATGTCGTTGTATATAATATTTTCTTGGTATAGGTGTCTCTATTTGTTGAGTTCGATGTCAAAAAAGGATCAGTTGAGCAACATTTATAAAAAAAAATTTTCTTAACAATTGAAATATTTTACCAATAATAACATCACCAGGGCGTCTCATAGCTAGAGTTGTGACTCAAAAATATCCCACGCTTTTTTTTTTTTTTTTAAAAAACACGTTTTTTTTGCAAAAAAAAAAAAATGCGGAGCACTCTTAAAAATATGTTTTTTATGGTTTTTTAAATTTACACGTACAGATATTTTGATTTCAAAAAACAATTTTTAGGAATCACAGCTCACGACCCTTGCGGGGCAATAGACTTCCACATCAACTTGGCACAGGGGCCCCACCGGGTAAATCCGACCCTTATTTATCAAATGGCAGAGTATTAAAGCTAGCTTTTATTTTCCATAATTTAGATCTTAAAAATCAAATATGCACAGATTAATCTATGACTCAGAGTCAAAGACATGAATTTAATCTGGACAACGTTTCTAAAAACGTTGTTACTGAACCAACATTTCTGAGCATACTGTATCTTATGTAAGATTGGTTCAATAACCTAATGTTTAAAAAGTAATTTTTACTGTTATGTTTAATTTAATAATTTCTGTCATAGTTATAAACTTTACTATAATTATTTTTACCATAGTTTTTTTATCATTTCGAGTTATCATTTTATCAGTTTTGTCAAGTTTGTTGATGTATAAAATACATCAACAAACTTGACAAAACTGATATATGCGACAGTTTAAAAACATGTCGCATATATCAGTTTTGTCAAGTTTGTTGATGTATTTTATACATCAACAAACTTGATAAACTCATAAACTTTGACTCAAGTTAAATAACCTTAATATTTAATTTTTCTTGTTTGTTGCAAAGTTGTAAATGTTAGTAAAAACTTTTAGATTGCATTGTTAAAGAAATAGATACTTGTAGTTGTTCGCAAACCATAAATAATCATAATTCATGGATTACTTAAAAAAAGAAGTCCATGGATTACTTAAAAAAAGTGAGAAAAATTCTCATATTTTGCAGAACCAAAAAACAACACTATAGCTTTAATTTGGGAAAAAAAAACAACATGATATTCTATTTTTTTAAATTCTCTCAAGTTATTATGTTTTGTTTCTTTTTTACTTAAGTTATTTAGCAGTCGTGGTAAGAGTTGTGGCTCATAACCAAGAGGTTTGTGGTTTGACGAGCATTTTACTAGGAAGTTCTATAATATCGATGTTAAGTGTCTTTGCATGATTTCAAGCTGGTTCTTAAAAACTGTGAGGGGAAACTTAAAAAATGGTAAACGCAATATGAGTTTTTCAAAAATGTTAACGCAACCTACCATACTAAGTTAAAAAAGAAGGTTTTATAATAAAACATATAAAATGTGCACTAATATATCCAAAAAATACATAAAACTTCAGGGTTCCATAGAACCATGAATTTTTTTCGAGGATAAATGTTTACATTAAATCTCCCAACAATGAGCGCGTTGCATCATATTTTAGGAAAATGTTATAAATAAGAAAAAAACAACTTTTTTAAAAATCAAGATCCAAATCGATGTTTGATTTTCTTGCATTGACCTTATATTATAGAAATTTTTTTAATAAATTTGTTTATTTAAAGGAAAACAACACGTCTACTATGCTAGTAGAGAAGGAGCAAGCAATTGCAAATCAGAAGGAATAATGTCATACCGAGGTTTGATGAAAAAAATCATGTGTACAAATGAACGCGTTGGAAAAACTTGCGAAAATGACAAATTTTGCAAATCAAATGAAGAATGTTTATGTGAAAACAAATGCGAGGACCGAAGATGTAAAAAAAAAGGTAAATTTTTTTTTCTCTTTCATCATTTAATTGATGCATACAGACTTGAAAAAAAAATTATAATTAATTACTTTACGTGCGTAAATTTTATATTTTTTGTTTTAGTTTATTTATTTTTTATTTTTAAAATAAAAAAATTTTGAATTATAATTAATTACTTTATTTGCGTAAATTTTAATTTTTTTTTAAATTTATTTATTTTTTAATTTTATGAAATCAAATAATGCTTATTGTAAGATATTTTTTGGATTTAAATCTTAAAACTTGAACATAATTTTAAGTTAATCAAGAATCATTTGTGGTTAGATTGTCTCAAGATTATTATCTACACGATAAGTAAACTAACCTTAGTACTTTATTTAATTTGTTTGCGTGAGTTTCGTTGTTGTTGTTAACTAAAAACAGTTAATAAAATAGTTAATACAAAAATAGTAGAAAAAATAAACAAATAATAAATATTTTAGTGATTAAAAGTAAGACGTTGAATTATTATTTTCTCTCTTTTTTAAGATTAGGTAATTTTATTTATTTTTATAATAATTGATTAAAAAAATTAAATTGCTATTAAAATATATGACTTAAGTTATAAATATTTTTTGTTTCTAAGAGATTTCATATTAAAAATCTAACTTGAAATTTTTTTTTTTTCAATGTGCGAATAGACTATAATAGTTTTTTAGTTAGATAGCATTTTCCCGTTTAAAGCGTTCTCAAAACAAGTGCGCAGATGAGAATATTGAATAAGTGCGGCCATTATTTAAAAAGATTTTTGTGCAACACATAAGGTAATTAAAGTTCTAAATGTGCATGTGATACAATAAATGATGTAATTAAAGCCTCGACATCATTTTTTGGTAATGTTGATATAAATGGCTGATTATAACCCTGACGGATTTTCGTAAGAAGATTTAAAAAGTTTAAATTTTAAATTATTTGTGGATCTTCATAACATATTTAAAAAAATATTGATTATTTTTAAAAAACTCAAATGAAAATTAATGAAAACGATCCTTATAACTTCAAAGTTAAAAAAAGTATTATTTCTTTTTCTATACTCTATTTAGGGTAGCCCGGGGCAAGTTGGTCATAGGGGGGTAGGTTGGCCCAGTCAAATTTATTCTAAGACTGTGCGCTTTAGTGAGCTGGAAATTTAGGTGAAAGATGGTAGTGATTCAGTCCTCTTTCTAAAAAAAAATACATTTATTGTTTCATAGTTAGAAGTGTAGGGTCGCTTTGACAATTTTTAATACATCAAAGTAAATTTTGAACAGTTTGTTTGAGGTTAATATGTTCACTGGTGTTAATATGTTCACTGGTGTTAACATGTTCACTGGTGTTAATATGTTCACTGGTGTTAATATGTTCACTGGTGTTAAACAGTACTGCGTTATCGAAGATCAAAAATCAAAGGATTTTTTTAGTTAATGTTAAATAATATTGCTTAATGGTTTAATAATATAAGCGTTTATACTCTAAACATTACGACGGTGCAGGTTGGCCATGAGGAAAATGGCCACGCTAGCCATATGTTAAAACCAATCCTCAACAATCTTTATTTTATTAAATAACTTGTTTTCATATCCGTTAATAATATCTTGTTTTTTGAAATGTTAAAAAAATAAAAATAAAGGTAAGTAGATAAGAATTAAATAAATTAGAATTTTATGCTTTTTTAATATTTGGCGTGTTTCATACTAAGGTCTAACACACTTCAAATTTCACTAATGGTTTTATCTTTTTAAATAAAATAAAACATAGAAAATGAAATTTGCCTTTGTTTTATACGCCTGGGCCGATTTACTCCGATAGCGGGGCATGTTGGCCAAACAGACCTAATCTAAAAAAAACCAATTTAAAATGTATTAAAAACCGATCATGAACTTTTAATAATAAAACATTAAAAGCTAAAAAGTTACTCATCAAAGAAAAAAAACTAACGTGCCTCGGTCTACCCTGAACATAAGAAGTATGAAACAAAATTTTGAAAATTAAAGAACATTTAGATATTCTAAATTACACGTTTGACTTTATTCCGATTGAATAAAATTCTAACTATAGCTTGTCAATTTTTTTAAAAACGACAGTTTAAATATGGAAAAATCATTAGGGTTGTTTCAGTTCCAAACAAAAGATTACATACTAATGATTCTTGCCATTTTTTAAATTTAAAATTATTTGAAACTTTTTATGCAAATGTTACAATATTAAGTTTAAAGTTTATGAGTTCACGAGAACACAACTTATTTACCAAGATTTTCAGATTTTGTTATCTATGAAAAAGCTCTATGAAAAGATTTTGTCTGGATCTTCTTGAATTCCCCCATCCTTCCCTGGCTGTTTATTGTTTATATATTTGTAAGTAAATTTAATTTTATTAAGATGAAATTTTGGGGTTTTATTTTAAACAATTTAGAAACAAACTACGATAACCCTAATTGACTTAGTAAAGGTTAAAAGAGTTGCAGAAATATACAAGAGATTTAAATTAAAAAATTTTCTTCTTCTAAACATTAATTGTCGTTTGTTGGGATAATGTTGAGAAAGGAAGCCAGTTACATGTAGTTACTACATGAAAAATGTTTAGAAGCCAAAATGCGTAATGTGTAATAAAAAATCTCCATAATACCGCTCAACACCATATTACTCAAATCGTTACCACAGTGGCTTAAAATTCATATTAATCTGAATGTTGCGTCATGGCAAAAACCTTTTGGGGTATGGCAACATATATATAGGCGGCCACTAAGGCATAAATCCCAAAATTAGAATATTACGTGCGTCGGAGAAAAATGGAGGTTCAGATTTTAATGAAAATCAATATTTTTGAGTTTTAGTTTGTTTTTTTTAAACTGCATTGTAATTTTTTGAGGTATTTTTTTGAGGTAATTGTTGTTTTGTTTTGAACTTAATTTCAATTAGAATAATACACACACAATTTTCTGGGAAATAGTTACTGTACAGTTTTATCCTTTAAGTGGCTTACTTTATTTACTCAAATGCCAAGTAGAGCAAAAAAATTTTATAAATGCTGATATAATTAATGCATGTTTTCTGTGCTTACATAATGGCAACAGAGAGAACTGATTTTTTATTTGAGCGTTCTCTTAACGTTTTTATTTAAGCATTCTTTTAACGTTTTTATTTGAGCGTTCTCTTAAAACTTTTTTCATAAATTTCAATGATCCTTGAGTTTCAACTGGAATTGTAAAATAGTGTCGCACAGCTCATAGAAGAAAAAATTCAGGTGAATATGCTATTCTACACTCATTGCCTAAAAATCAGTGGAGACTACAAGAGACTTAAAACGTAACTGCCTGAGTTGTTGCATTAAAAATACAAAACTTAACAATCCTCTAACAGTTAGAACTGCCTAAACGGCTCACCCTAAAAACAATCACAAGTTAAAAAACGATGCTCAACATGCTTTTCCATCAGTGGTCGAGGCCTTCTTTATAGTTGCACTAAACAAACTAGATGACAAAATTTGTTGAATGCTGACACAAAAGATAATGCTACGCCTGAAGAGTAACTGCTCTGGTGGTTTCAAACAAGACTCTATCACACCTCATAGGACTTTAAGACTAAGTTAAGGAAAAGGGAAACCGCTTCCCATGGTTTCAGGTAGTGTATTTTTGGGTTAATCTTTTTTTTGAACATAAAAACTTAAGAATATTTAAACAGTTTAATAATGTAAAGTTTTAGGAAGTGTTTATCTAAGAAATTAGCAAAGAAAAACATAAAACTTAACCTTAATTTTTTTTGTGCAGAAATTTCCAAACGCAGGCAATTAATTCATAACGCAGAGATTCCCAGCTGGAGATGAATTAACTCCTCAAAATCATCTCGTTGTTCAAACTGGATTGTCTAACCGTTGAGTAAATAAGCCTGATTCAACCCATAAGTGAGTGACGCTACGTAACTCATTGTGGAAAAAAACTTTCGGGCTTACTTTTATTCACTCGGAAAACATTTTTATGTTTTTTTTGCTACTTCAAACATTTATGACACAACAAAAGGGAAAACCTCAGAGTCAAAAAGAATTTTGGTATAATGCATAAATTTGGATGTACTGAGAAGAATTATAATTAAGATTAGAGTCGCAGAATTATATTTTATAAGTTGAATTAGACAAAAGTGGTAGTTTTTTAAAAATCTCTCTTGGAGTTTTCAACTTAAAGAATGACTCTACTCTATCTAAGAAACTTTTTTCTCCAACTTCCTTAAAAGAGTTAAGAGTCAAATAAGGATCGGATTATCAGAAAATTCTTCTAGAAAACTTTGGAAATATCAAACAGTTAATGGGCAAGTTGAGTTTTAATAGAATGACTTTTGTTTTGTCGTGTTGTCACACGAAAATCATTAAAGTGTCATCTTAGCACTTGGTAAAATGTGGAATTCAAATATTTTCACTAGAGAGGTGAACTCAGAACTTTTAGCTTTATTAAAAGTGTAAAGCACTTTATGATAATATATGAGTATTTATAATAAAGACGTAATATATGTACATAAAATATATGAGTATATAAGTATATAATATATGAGAATATAAGATAATATATGAGCAAAGGCGGATCGATAGGGAGAGGGGTGTTGGAGCGATCTGCTCTCTTATATATTTAACTGAACAATTGTTTTAAAAAGGAAGTAAATTAGGTAGGCAGTTGAAATGTAATAAAAATGACTGACGGATATTGATATTTGACATAATTTCGCAGTTACATAGGTTAAAAAAGTGAAAGACTTATGCTTTTTAGTTAAAAAATTTTAACTAAAAAACCTAAAAAAAGCCCCCCTTTTCCTCCCTACTTTATTAGATCAGCTGTGGTGATCTCCCTACTTTATTAGAGCAGCCGTGGCGCAGTGGTAGCGCACTTGCCTCAGAAACAAAGGATCCGTGGTTTAAACCCCTTCTCTGGGCGATTTTGCGACATTGGTGAGGAAGTAGGTGTAAACTTCCTATTAAATGCTCTTCCCCGGTGCTCTGTGATAAGACCGTAAGG